CAACCGCAATACCCAACCCCGGCGTCCTCCCAATTTGAGCCATATACCTACTCCACTTCCTCGGACTCCTCTTCCTAATCTCACTTACCGGGACCCCCCCTTCCCAACTCCCCCTCGAAGCCGCCACCAGCCCAGCCATGCCATCATCCTCATCAAACCACGCCGGTCTAGCCCGCACATTCGGCATGTCAGGATCAAACGGGGTCTCCCACTCAAACCCCGTCAGATCCTCCGCCGGGATCCCCTCGTCGGTAAAAACCCCCAGCTTGAGCGGTTTCCCGACATGGTTGGTGCACCACTTCTCCAACCACTCGACATGTATCTCATCCCCGTAGTGCTCGTCCCATTTGGCGGCATCCCAGCCCTGGCCGACGAAGTCCATGCAGATGGGGCATGGCTCACGCTTGTGCACTTTGCGGAAGTGGTCGACTGCCGTCTCGGGGGTGCGCAAAACAGGGAGGTAGCACTGGAAGAAGGGACAGTTTCTCGTCTGGAGAGCCAGGTCTTGAATGGCCCTCGCGCGGAGTTCTTCCGGGATGGGTGGCGGGCGGAGGGTGTAAGGTTGGATGCCTACTTTGGAGATGAGGTTAGGGGACATGTTGGGTTTGTGGGCGGTGACCACCTCGCTGATGACGGGTGGATCTTCCAGGGGAGGGTCGGTAGGGTCGATTGTGGGGGGTGCTCCGGGGGGGAGCTTGGTGGTGTACAGCAGCTTTGCCTTTGTCAGCGTGTCCAACGCCTTGATGTCCTCCAGGGTGGAGTAAGGTGGTTTGGGAGGGGAAGCTGGCTTCTTGTTTTCCGCGCCGGGACGCGGGGGACGGGGGGTGGTGTCTGTTGGGTCGAACTTGGAGGCGTCACGCTTGCCGGGAGGATAGGGGGTGGCAGGACTGGTGCTGGCAGGAGCGGGTGGGGTGGGATCGCTTTCGCCGGTGAGTTCTTGGATCCTCTTCCTGTATACTTGGTCTAAGGTTTCCTTGTTCTTGTAGCCGGCTGCTTCTGCCTCGTTGTTGGCGTGGACTTGGTTCCAGTAGTTTTCCTTTGCCGTGATATCTGGGAGACCAACCCCGGGCTTGGTGGTTGGCCACTTTCTAATCCAGTATCCAGGGCGGTTTGGATTTTCTACCCAATGCTGGGGGTCTGGTGGAATCACACCCGTCTTTGCCGGGCTCTTCTTTGCTGGCTTGGTCGTGGGGGTTGGTTCCTTTGTTGGCTCTTTGGGAGCCCTCTTCGCTGCCCGTCCTGCAAAGGCCTGGGCGATACGGGGGTCGACAGCACCCTTGGGCTTACGGGGGGCTGTGAGTGGTTTCGGAGATCCCCTGGGCTTTTGGGGTGTCCTGATTCTAGAACGTGCGACGGGTTTGACCGGTTTGACCCGGGGTGTAGTATAATGGCCTAGCGTTGGCGTTCCCGTCTCGGTGGGAAGGGTCACTCTCCGCCTCTTGTGACGGGTCGGACTGGGAGTCGGTTGCATACGGGGCTTTTCTTTAGGCTGCTCCTGTTGAACAGGCGCGACGCTCAGATGCAGCGGCCGCGTGAGCGGAGGTGGCTCGGATTGTTCCGCCAACTCTGGCTTGTCCTTCGGTATCTTCACGAGTTGAAAATTATCTGGAAGGAAATCTAGCACCGGAACTTTCAACTGTTTCTCCCAAGGCTGCCACGTCCCCAAGTCTTCAATCGGTGTCGCACGATACAATTGCCAGTCAAAGTTGTGCGTAACCGGCGGCGGTTTGTATCTGCCCCATAGCTTTTTCTGTGGAGTTTCGGTGTAGATGTCGCGATATCCGAACGGCTGATGCTCATAGATGCCCTCAAAAACCGGCAACGATTGCTCATCCACCTTGTTGATCCGCAGGTAAGGGTGGACAATGAGCCTCCGGGCCACTTCCCATTCAGTCTCAGTCATGGATGGACTAACAAGAATGTCAGGGAGGTCGGGGTCAAAGCCTTGGGTGATGCTGAAGTGGTCCGTCTTGCTGTCAAACGGCCCCCCATTTGCCATCACTTTGCCCACGAACTCTCGGAGTTTGTCAAGTGAGATCTCCCACAGAGACAGTGGGCACTCATGCACCAAAGCCCCGTCGTAGGAGGCATCCTGGAAACTATACCTCCTCCAGACCGGTCGTGACACGATAAACTGAGGGAACAGGCTGAGTGGGCTGGGTGCTTTAACACCCTTCGGGTAGATCGCTTCTTTTGTCAGCTTCTCTATCTTCGTCATCAACTCGGCAAACGCCTCAACAAGAGGCGTAAAGGCTCTGCTTAATGCCGGGGCGAACTCTGCATCCGGGCAACTCGTATCGAGTACGTCGGCAAGGCTTATGTAGAGGGATGGAGGTGTACCCGTTTCGTCAGCAACAGGGTATTTTCCAAAGTGTGGCCCGAGCCAGTTCTCGCCAGGAAAGAAAACCTCCAGGTAGGTCAGCCCAGCGAAAGGGACCCCTTCTGCTGTCTTCCAGATTTCACTCGCAAGGATCGGTCTGAGCAACCTCTCGGCAACAATCGAGGGAGCCGTCAGTTCCAAGTGCGTCAGATACCAGTCGTCAGACGCGCTGTCATATGGCTTTGTTTGGCCAAGGGCCAAAATGTGCCATCGATCGGAAACCTGCCCCGACCCCCCTGGAGCGAATGCCCGAAGCGTTACCGCGTAAGTGTATTTCTTCGCGTTAACTACGTCGAGTTGCGCCGCAATTACCTCCCAGTTTGACTTGAGAAAGGCCAAACCTCCATATGTTACCGGAGCTTGGGTTGGATTGCCCTGCTCGTCGGTGGTGAAGGCATTTATCAGCGCAGCTGGGATCGCTGGGCGGCCTGGACGGTCGCGGATAGCTCCCGGTACCAACACACGGCATACTTGTTGCATCCAGAGGCTGTACTGATTCGTGAAGAAGGCAGTGGCAGGAGCATCGTCCCCGGCGGGCAACGGCAACCGAAGGTAAGCAACGTCTGGTCTACCTCTCCCTTTCAACTGTGGCCAGTCCAAGGTGACCTTTCCAACATGGTGTCTGGCTCCCGGCTCCCACTTCCAGGGAATGGGGTCATGTGGACCTGCCACGAAGGGGATCAGCTTCCCAAAGTACGCGCTGTCTCCTGGACGGTATTGCTTGTCGATCTGCTGGCAAAGCCAGTTGAATGCGACGCGGTCCTTGGCAAGGGCACCTACCCCAGCACACTGCACGCGGCAGGCATGCTGGTTGATATCAGCGAGAAATGCGTCCTTCTCCTCTTGCAACTCATAATCCTTGCTGGGATCCATGATGTAGAGGTTGTAAGTCACTGCAGCTCTGCTGTCAAGGCCAAGCAGACGGTCAACGGCGTCCACAAAGCTGTTAAAAATCCCACGACGGAACCAGACAACACCCTGGTACCCATGAAGCGGGATCATCAGGCTCTTTCCAGGCTGGAAACCAGTTTCCTTGGCGAACTGCTTCTCCAACTGACCAACCTTGGTTTTGAACGTCGGCGCCCTTTTCTCGTCCAGTGACCATCTATCCGAGGCATTGTCGAGGGTCGACGGCGGTGGATATTTTGCTAGATTCCTCCACTGCTTACTTTTCGGAGGTTCTTCATCTGCCATGCCACCTCTGATGTGCAGATCGTCGTCGCTCTCGTCCTCTTCCTCTTCCATATCCCAATCGTCATCCAAACCTCCACCGCGAAGGTCTATCTCGTTTGTTTCCATCATGTCGAGATAGGCGTTCACGTCCAAATCACCTTCGCGCGAGGCGAGGTCCTCCAGCGCCCACATGTCCACATCGGAGCCTTCCTTGGTGCTCTCCTCATCAGACACGAGGTCATGCTCTTCCCCCATCACCATATCTGACCCACCGTCTGAGCTCACCTCCACCGCCTCGAACCATGTCTCCTCGAGCTCGTCCTCCCACTCATCTTCTTCCAGTTCTTCGAGATCATTCTCACCTCCTCGAAGCCCTGCATCGACCTGGAGCCGGCGCATCCAGGGCGGCGGTTTGAGCTGCCAATTCCCCTCGTCATCAGCGTAAACATCCAGGTCATTCTCATGATAAGGCCTCCGTTTCATCCCCGCAAGCGACGGGGGCTTCCCTATAAAACCAGATGACCTCCCTCTGAACCCAACCGGCCCATCATAGTAAGGCCCATACCGCTTTTCTTCTTTCCTCCTCGTCAACAACAGTCTCCTCCCACCACCCATCCTTTTGGGTACTGGCGAGGCGGTGACATTATTCAGGGCTATTTAACATGTCAGTAGGAAACCCCAAAACAAAGGAGGAGGCCGAAAGAAGAAACATACCCTTCGCAGGCTCCGGAATATACTTCTTGAAGTCATTCAAAAAGTAATACCTATCCTCAAAGTACTGCTCCCGAAACTCTTTCGACCCCGGCTCGAACATATTGCCCTGCACCTCAGCCCCCGGCGCCGGGATGGGCACCCCAATATAAAACGCCGCCAGTCTCGACGGCAAATCCCACGCCTCATCCTCAGCATCATACCCCAACACCTTGCCAATCTGAGGCCTCAACCTCTGATACCCAAGCATATCCACCTCCTGAATCAGTGCCTCAGCCCGGTTGCTGCTGTACGCGACAGGGATCAAAGGCCAAATCTTGGCCAGCTGCTGCGTCGTAAAGTTGGCCTCGAGAAACATCCTCAGCGTGGTGTTAACATCCTTCCCATTGACAATCTCCCTAACAGCATTCCTAAACTGCTTGGTAATATACCCAAACCGGTCCTTTGTCCGCGCATCCGGGTTCAGCCGCGGATCCAGATTGTAATCCTCCCGTTCATGGTCCGGCATGAACGGGTCGTCGATCCGATAGAACCTGGGCACCTCCCGTTTCCCCACCCAGTCCTTTTCGTTTTCCTTTGCCTCCCTCGCGGCCTCCTCCACGTCCCAGAATCTTTCGGGAACCTTGTCAAAGTTCTCGACCGACGTGAGCTCGCTCGTGGGATCGAGCGGATGGTAATCTTTTCTTTCCGCTGCGAGCTTGTTCCATGCGTAGGGCGAGGTTTTTTTCGCGCTCCGGTGGCCGAACTTGGGTGCTTTCCATTTGCCGTAAACGGGACGTCGATACGGTGGGGTCTTTGCCGGCGTGACGGGCCAGGCGCCTGGGGTCTCGGGGGTGGCCATCAGTTTCCAGTCTTGTCGTGTCCCGGCCATCCGCTGCTCAGACGTGTCTGACCAGCCGGCGTTGAGAAAGTTCCAAATCCTTTGAAACATGTGGGCCATCTTGGAAAGGACTTGGTTGTGGCGACAGTTTGTTTAGGTCGGGTGGTGGTGGGGGAGAAGGTGAGACGCCGATGGGGCGGGTTGGAAGCTTCATGGTGGTGGAAATATTCGAGGCTTGGGGACAAAGCGTGGTCAGTAAACAAGCTGGTGTGTTGTGTGGGGAGAGCTGCGTGCTATTTTCTTTGTTCTTCGAGTCAAAATACGGACTGGAAATCACGACCGCCATTGGGTCGAGGGGCAACAAACAAAGGCAACAGGGCTGCTTGCGAACATGGAAATTTCTGCGGATTGTGTCCGGAAGGGGTAATGCAAATAACAAAGGTTTGTGTTGACCTAACATTCAGACTCAATGATGGCGATGGGATTGAGTTTTTTTGCTGACGGCTGCGCGCCTTTGAGCCTGTCAATCGTTCTCTGGGCGAGTTGCAGAGCAAGCAATGCTTTTTGACCTAACAATGGCATTCATTGAGTGATGAGGTTTGGTGCGGGGGGTACCATGTGACCTCTCATCCCTCTGACCTCGATGACGAAATTCGACAACATATCAACTTGCACAAATGCAATGGTTGTATTCAGTTATATTATACATTATGCCCTCAATCACCCCAACATCTCTTGAGTTGTCGCTCCTCAAGTTCGACCATACACCCGCCTCGATTACCCGCAACGGAACGAGCTGATACGGTTATCGAACCTTCCATTCCCATCGCTAAGGTTGGCGTCGTCTTGGTTCTGGTACACCAGCCCCTGGCAGTTGGCGTGTCTGCAATGATGGTTAGAACAATGTGAACTCCTTTGATTGGGGGCTGGTGCTGTGACTTACTCCCACCACTGGCAATGCCATCCTTTTCCAGAGTGGCGTATCGAACTGATGACATCGTTCCAGCTGCCAGAGAAGTTTACTGGAGGACTTTGTTAACCCTTGGTTACTCAGAGAGAAGGAAGAAAGGTTGCTTACCGCACTCGTTGCGGCCGCCATAAAAGGTCCGGCATTGACCACCCCACCAGGGGTCCTTGCAGGCATAAACACTGATCCGCTCTTGACCCCCGTTCGACTGGGAGGCCGTAACTGACAGGACGCCAAGTGCCACAAGGACCGCAAGAGACTTGACGTTGAGCATCTGGATGGTGTCGAGAGCCACGAGAAAAAGGCTCCAAGGGTGATGTTCGAGGGTGAAAGAGCAGTAGGTCGTTGTTTGTGAGCCGGGCGGCCTTATTTTCTTATGTTTTTTCAGGGTCCTTCT